GCACGCATCGCCGTCGGCGGGCGGCCGGGCCCGGGGAGGGGAACAGCGCCGGAGGTGGGGGTGCGGGGCAGCGGGGAGCGAGGCCTAGGGTGGGCCCCTTTGTCCCCCTGTGCTGCTCCTCAGGAGCTCACTGAAACCTCAACTGCCTGGGAGGGTAGAGACCGCTGTGCCCATTTAACGGTGGGGGACCTGAGCCCCGTGAGGGCCATTACTGCTGCGGGTTGCTCAGCTGGCTTCCCAGGGTGTCTGATCCCCACTCCATTTTTTTTTTTTGCCTGCATCCCCTACTCTCCGAAAGTTGTGCCTTTGGGCCTGGTGACAGCCCTGGGGGCTCAGAGCCAGGCGCACAGCAGGGGCACCTTAGCCACTGGCTGAATTTGACGGGGGCGCTATGCCAGGAGCCTCAGGAGGGCAGTGAGCGTGCCTGCCCACTGACGCGCAGTGCCAGACAACCCCGGCCCCAGGGCCAGGCAGGAGTGGGACGTGTCTGGAATTATTGGCTTACCAGGACCAGCGGTAGAGAGAAGTTTCCAGACTCCTTGAGGTCTCCAGGGGGACTCAGTGTACCCCATGAGGACAGTCCTAGATGCTAACAGAGACCCTGGTTCCAAACATGCCTTCCACTGGACTGCAGGTTTTCTGGTCAGGCCATGGTTTGCTTCTTCGTACCTCAGTTTCCTGTAGGGGCCCCAGTGCTTCCTCGACCTCAGCCACCACCTGGCCCGTCCAGCCCCGCCTGCTCCCAGCCAGTTAGTGACCTGGATCTACGTGCCTGGCTCCCCGCTATGTAGCCTGGGGTGGCTGCTTTCACCACTCTGAGCCTCTCTCATTCAGCTGTGGGATGGGTGAGTAACAGTGCCAGCCTCGCCTGTGTGCTGGAAGGTTCCGTGAGGCCATGCCAGTCTTGACTTCGCACGGGGCCTGCCGCACAGTAAGCAGTCAATGTGGGTCACTGTTGTTGGAGCTGATTGTTTTTGTTATTTCTGAGGGACTCACAGAGGCCTAGCGAGCCCCCTCCCCTCCCGGCTCCCCTCAAGCATAAGGCAGAGCCGTGAGGATTCAGAGCAGCCGGCGCCTCCTCCCCACCCCACCCCCGCCCCCCGCCGAGCAGTGTGGAAATCACCCGAGAAGCTGCTGAGCAGAAATTTCCAGTCTCCCTGGCAAAGCTGGGAAGAGTTAGGGTGGGGCTCAGAGATGAAGTTGAGCAGGCTTTGTGGGGCCAGGGCTGGGGAGGCACCCCCAGATGTTCTCGGGGACCCAGGAAGCACCCTGGGTCCTGGAGAGCGCCTGGCCTCCAACACAGCCCTTGTCCCTGGTGGTCAGGCAGGAGCAGCGCTAGCTGTGCCCTTTAGCAAGACCTGTACCCTGGGATTCTGGGTGAGCGTCCCCAGAAGATGGGATAATAGGGTCGCCGTGAGCACTTAGTACAGCTTCTTGCACCGCAGAAGTGGGGGCTGTTTGCTTTAGTGACTATCCCGCTTGTAGGGGCCCCCTTAGCTGATTCCTTGGCCACCAGGAGGAGCAGAGGCCCCTGGTTAGATGGTGGGTCTCAATGGGGCTGTGGAGGCCGTCATAGGTGGCCTGGAAAACCCACCTGGGGACCTGGCAAAGAGGCTGACTTTTGCTTCCATCACGGGGCTGTGTGACCCTGGGTGCCCAACACTGGACCTTGTTCTCCCAATCTGCAAAAGTGGCCTGTGACCCTCGCTCACCAGAGGGAAGCAAGGACCATTGGAGTTGGAAGGAGATGGGGGGTCAAGTCCCAGCACTGCCCCAAACTGCACAGGTGATCTTGGATAAGTTTGAATGAGACCGAAAACACAAAACTGAGTCACACTAATAAGAACATGTCGGCTTCAGGCTAGTGCTGGGTGTTTTGCATACACATATCTCACTGTTACTCTCGGAGGGAGGTTTTATTAACTTTATTTTCCAGATAAAGTAATTGAGGCTCAGAGAGGCCGATTCACTTCCTTAAGGACACACAGCCAGGAAATGAGAGAGTCAGGATTCAAGCCCTGATCTGCTGGCTTGGAGCCTGAAACCCTGAAGAAAAGCAAGTTGAATGTTTTAAAAAGTAAAACATTTTAAGCACCTACTATGTGTAAGACATAAAAGGAGGTGGCAATAAAAATGACATGTGGCCTGGCCTTTGAGAAGCTCAATACTGAGTGAGGACACAAGACTCCAACGAGACCCATGAAAGTTAGACTTGAAAAGTACGACCATAAAATACTAGCAGTGCGGTGGAGGGACCACGAGAGAGGTGGGGTTCAGCGTGGTGAAGGGAGAGAGAGAGGGAGCTGGGGGAGAAGGCACAGAGGCCAGGGGTCGGCGAAGGCTGGTCTTGAGCAGTGAAGAGGAATTTTAGTGGTGGCCACAGGCGAGGCCGGCACAGCCAGGGCAAAGCCATGGTGGCGTAAGGGGATGTACCAAGCTCGGGGCGTGGGGGGGGGTGATGGGGACAGAAGCGAGAATGGTGTGGCTGAGGCTGGCTTTGGGCTGCCAAGGCCTTAGCTACCTCTGCTCTACAGAAACGGGGAGCCATTGAAGGTCTTTGAGCAAAGGTGGACATCATGCTATGGGAGGTTTAGAAAGACACTTCTATAGGCAGAGAGATGTCTTGAAAACATACATACAAAAAACTAGAAGGACGGGGTCAGGATGCATTGCATGACCCTTGACAGTGCTTCCTTTAAAAGGTTGGGTGGTTTTTTCTGTTTTGTTTTGTTTTGTTTTGTTTTTTGGCCTTGTACATTCAATTAAAAAAAAAAAAAAAAAGAGGAAATGTTCAAAGGAAAGCAGGGAGCCTGGAGGCAGAGCCATGGGAGGCTGCGGCAGGAATGAGCGGGATCGGTGGGCCTGGCGCCCGGCTCTCCGCTGTTTGAGTGACCAGTGATCTGGCGGATCCATCTCAGATCTACTCGGGGTGAGCATGTGGGGCCATGGAGTCTTCGGGGCACTCTTCTTGCTGGAGTCTTAGTCCTTCCTGACAGATGATGATTTCAGCCTGTCCCTGCTCCTCCCAGAGTCTGTCCTCACCGAACTCCTCCCCACCGGCTGGGCTGTGGGACACAGGCTGATCCTTAAATCCCATGCTGGGGTAATAACTGCCTGGGAACAGTTACTCAAGGGGCCTCCCTATGTTCTTGGGGACAGACTGTCCCATGGAGGAGCACCAGGCCCTATACTAGGTGCTTTAAGGACAGTGTCTCTTAATCCAAATATAATCAAGTAGGAAAAAAGTGTCGCTTTCCACATTGGACAGAAGGAGAATGGGAGCTCAGTGGCCCACCACGTGAGGGGACAGTGACTGGCACACCTTTGAGTCCTTCCAAGAGGCCTTACTGCTTCAGTCTCTGCAGGAGAAAATCATTCTCCCAGTGTCCCCCATCTCGTGCCGGTGGCCTGCTCCGGTTCCTGGGACGAGTCGCAGCCACCCCTCTGAGCCATTCCCTCTGCCCGGATGCCTCTCTTCCCTTCTGCCTACCATCCACGTAGCAAACTCCACCTTGACCTTTGAAGCCCAGTGAAAACATTACTTTCTTTCCAGAGAGTCTCAGAGTGTACTTCCTGTCCCCTTATCCGTGTTCCTGTGGCGCTCCCCCAGGGAGGGGAGAAAAGGCTCAGGGGACAGGGCTGGATCGTGAGTTCCAGCCCAGCCCCATGCGGGCGTAGAGAAGGGTCCAGTCAGCTTGTTCTGGGTGCTCAGAAGGGCAGCCTGGAGCAGGGGGGATGTGAGAGGGAGAATGGCTTTGGCTCAACACAGGGAAAGATGGATCGGCCGGCCCCTGGGATTACTCGGCTTAGAGGCTGGAGGAGGACAAGTTCCAGAAGGAGAGAAAAGCAAAGATGCAGGCTGCCTAGCACAGCCGGGCTGGCTCTCCACCAGTCCAAAGAGAACACAGCTCTTTTCTGCCCCATCCCACCCCCGAGCCTGCGCATCCGGAACTCTGTGGCAAGGCTGGCGGCGAGCCGATTTTGTGCACAAGTGCCCCTAGATCCCCACCCCTAGTGAGTGTGCACACACAGAGACGAAACCCCCCCTTTTAGAACCCAGAGGCCCCCACCCTTGGTGAAATGACCAGAATTGAGAACAGAGTGGCATGAGCTCCTCCTAAACTCAGAGTCCCCAGTGTCAAGAACAGTGACTGGCACGCAGTAGGCACTTAAGCATGTGTTGGATGGACAAACGAAGAAATGAGAAATTGCCTGACCCCAGCCCAGGGAAGACCAGGACCCTGGAAGTCTGTCTGCCTGCTCCCTTGCTTCATGTGGAGCCCCCTGACAGGCGGGGTGGCTGGGGACAGACTCTGAACGTGAAGTGAGGGAGGCAAGAGCCACAGCAAAGCAGTCCCGTTTGGGAGGGAAGCAGACAGGGAGCCATGTTCTGGTGAAACACCCCTCTGATGCCTGGGCATGGGCAGTGCCTGGGGCCTGGGAAGCTTTCAGGTACCCCCAGATCACCGGGTGGGGACCTCCCACACATACGATTTCTCAGGGGGCAGCATGGTGCAAGTGTTAAAGCCAGCGCTAGGCTCCGGCTCCTTACTAGCCGGACCCGTTGCCTCAGTTTCCCCATCTGCAAAGGGGACCGATAGCACCATCTGCTGCACAGGATTGCTGGGAAGGTCACATGAGAGGTGTCAGCTCAGCACATTCTGTCTGCCATCGCTATAAACAACACAGAGGAGCTCGGAGGGGGAGAGAGCTGATCAGCCAGGCCCTGGGCTTGGGTACTACTGTGCCACTGACTTGTGGGATGACTTTGAGTAAGGCCCCGCCTCGCTCCAGGCCTCTGTTTCCCCATTCGTGCAGTCGGGCTCTGCTAACCCTGACAGCTTGACCCTTCCCCAAGCCCAGGCCTTTTGTGCACACACTGTTGCCTCTGTCAGACCAGCACGCAGCTCCTGGAATTGCCCAGAGACACACAGGCGCATACACACATATACACGTGCACACGGACCCACACTCACACAGGGACATGTGCACACACAGGCATATGTTCACACGGGCACACACGTTC